CTCTCTCTCTCTCTCTCTCTTCTCTCTCTCTCTCTCTCTCTCTCTCTCTTTGCTCTCTCTCTCTCTCTCTCTCTCTCTTCTCTCTCTCTCTCTCTCTCTCTCTCTCTCTCTCTCTCTCTCTCTCTCTCTCTCTCTCTCTCTCTCTCTCTCTCTCTTGCTCTCTCTCTCTCTCTCTCTCTCTCTTTTGCTCTCTCTCTCTCTCTCTCTCTCTCTCTCTCTCTCTCTCTCTCTCTCTTCTCTCTCTCTCTCTCTCTCTCTCTTCTCTCTCTCTCTCTCTCCTCTCTTCTCTCTCTCTCTCTCTCTCTGCTCTCTCTCTCTCTCTCTCTTCTCTCTCTCTCCTCTCTCTCTCTCTCTCTCTCTCTCTCTCTCTCTTTGCTCTCTTTCTCTCTCTCTCTCTTTTGCTCTCTCTCTCTCTCTCTTTTGCTCTCTCTCTCTCTCTCTCTTTTGCTCTCTCTCTCTCTCTCTCTCTCTCTCTCTCTCTCTCTCTCTCTCTCTCTCTCTCTCTCTCTCTCTCTCTCTTTTGCTCTCTCTCTCTTTTGCTCTCTCTCTCTCTCTTTTGCTCTCTCTCTCTCTCTCTCTCTCTTTTGCTCTCTCTTTTGCTCTCTCTCTCTTTGCTCTCTCTCTCTCTCTCTCTCTCTCTCTCTCTCTCTCTCTCTCTCTCTCTCTCTCTCTCTCTCTCTCTCTCTCTCTCTCTCTCTCTCTCTCTCTCTCTCTCTCTCTCTTTTGCTCTCTCTCTCTCTCTTGCTCTCTCTCTCTCTCTCTCTCTCTCTCTCTCTCGCTCTCTCTCTCTCTCTCGCTCTCGCTCTCGCTCTCTCTCTCTCTCTCTCTCTCTCTCTCTCTCTCTCTCTCTCTCTCTCTCTCTCTCTCTCTCTCTCTTTTGCTCTCTCTCTCTCTCTTTTGCTCTCTCTCTCTCTTTCTTTCTTTCTCCCTCCCTCCTTAATCACCATTTCTCTTTCACATACAAGTATCACAGATCTTTCTTTCTTTTTTTCTTTCTCTCTCTCAGATTAATTCCATACTAGAATATTAAAGTACAACATCTTAATTCTTAAACAAAATCTATTGTGACAAATGTAGAAAAGTTATGAATAAGAATGAATAACTTCACAATACAAGAGGTACATAGTGACCAATTTCTGTTATATCTTGGTCTGAAATAATTAGTTCTTACATATATATATGGAATGAGCTGAAAATTGTAGTTGGCCAGAAAATTGAGTTTAGAAATTAAATTTCCTCTATTTTAGGTGATCTGTAATAACTTGTTAAATGTGCTCTGTAACCCTATGCCAATAGGAACTGGTAGAAGTGTTAGACCACAAATTATTGGGCTGAACTTATTGAGTTAACCATAGTTCATACTTCTATAATGTATAAGGTATTAATTGTTATTTAGGCTATTCTTGGTACACACCATATGTAGGCGAATAATCAGGGAAGAAGAAAGTTTGTGGCGGATACCACTTTCACCTCACTCAGTATCAGCGCAGCCTCGCTCTGCATAGTTGCCTCCGCACAGAGTCAGCTGGAGAGACACATGGTCGCTCGTTCGCTTAACTCACTCTCTGTAAGGGAAGTACCTTTCCCGCAACATGAAGTTCAGCATACTTCCCAGGTTGGGTCATATCAGGTCCATAGCTGTGTCCTCGCACTCTCACCAGCAGATGCTTCTCTCAACTTGCTGTAGAGACCTGACTGGCTGACTCGGACACCTCTCGTCTCTCTCTTTTCACTACGGACTCCTCTGGTTTATACAGTGCTCGTGTATTTAAGCCACAGAATCCGCGTTCCTTGATCCTCCAGATGACCATGACATCAGCAGCAACACAAGGACTGCCCAGTCCTTAACCGACTGGGGAGCCTACCAGTTCCTCCCATTGAGCTTCACTTCGCCTTCAGCACTCAGCCATACCTGTGAGCACTCACACCCACACAATCACTCTATAAAGTGATATAGACCAATCTAAGTAGTGGATGCAATAACATCTACCTGGAGTGACCCGAACACCAGCCGTTTGGCTAATCAGCATACACGGATGCGGACACCAATCTTGCCCTCACAAGATCCTCAGTCTGTAGTCCTTTCTTCCTTGTTAAGTAGTAGACATTGTGGTGGAAGCCACAATCACCTCACACGTGAGTTGACATGGTATTTTGTTCGCTCGCTTAACTCACTCTGGAAGGGAGTACCTGTAGTAGCACTACCCCGTAGCCTGAAGTTCAGCATACCTCCCAGGCTGTGTCACATCAGGTCCACAGCCGTGTTCTTGCACTCTCAGCAGCAGATGGTTCTCTCGACTCACTTCAGAGACCTGACTGGCTGACCCAAACACCTCTCAGCTCTCCCATTGGACCCTGAACTCCCCTTGTTGTCTGCTGGCTTACACAGTGCTTGTGTACTTCAAGCACTCACACCCACATCAATCCCAGCCTCCGGGCTAGTACAGTGGTGACATGTCGGCCTTTCATCCGAGGGGTCGGTGGTTCGCGCCCCGCCCAG